GTAGCCTCAAGCTTCGAGAGGGATGTCACATCTCCCATGAATTGAAAATTCTATGCACACAAACAATATAGCATACCTAAGCATACATCAACATATTTATGAAAGAGCAGCTGCCACTGCACCCACTTATTTTCATAACTTTATTACACCCACCTACAAGCATGTAGCCAAACAATTCCTGGGATTACTGTTGAGATTGCAAAATTAGGAATAAAAAGTATGTAAGCCTACAGCCGACCATATCTTCACTTGGCTTAGTATAGTCATGTGTTATTTCACAAAGTTTGGTTTCTTACTCTGATGATGCCTGTCACATAACAGACGAAAGTCTGGCATGAGTTAGTCAGCATTGTGGGAGGGTGAACCAAGGAATTGTTCCCATAATCCAACAGTCTTCATTCTAAGTCATCATTTGAGACCAATTCACGAAGCCCAATCAGCTAAATTTTTGCTTGAAACGAAAAGTCGAGTCACACTAAATAAATAACATGTAATTATGTGCACAATTTATATACGATAAATTGGATAAATGAATGTGACAAGACAGAAGCGATATTGCAAATGTTTAGGAGAAAGTTGCTCAAGGGATGGATTTCACGTGTACCTTTGATGATTTTAGCTTGGTGCTATAATTGGCAGGGCTCACTGACGATCCTGGCTAGACCTCTGGGAATTTGCTGGATCCACGGTATGGCGCTGGAAATTATCATGGCCACTACTCTGACTCCAGCTAAGGAACGTTCATCAAGACTATCCCGACAATCGTTTGTAATCCGATTCAACAATTCTAATTCTTAGCTTTGCTCAAATATTTTTTTTAATGTTTTGAGAGGTTTCCCTAAAATAATTGAAGTCTTTAATAAACTTTAACTCCATAATGAGCTAGACGGCATTTACCACATCGACTAGTATTTCACATGTGTTTCCGAGTAGGAAATTCCTGCCTCTATTCAATCACATTTATCTGTGATCATTTGAAAATAATAAAAGTCTTGGTTATCGAGCTCGAGAGTTTATTTTTAAACATATGCTTGAAGGAAAAACAAAGAAACAAGATACCTCATGGTGTAAAAATACTTCTTTAAAATCTGATAAGTAGAACGATACATAATCGAACTTTCTTCACTCAAGAAATTTCAGCTATACTGCTAACTGAGACGAGGCTGAGCTTAGACTTAGACTTATCCTCTGGAACATCTATTATAATAATGGGCCTTTATCTTTTGTGATTTTCGTTAGTGTACATATATGTCTCTTATGTAATTTTAAAGTTATCACAATTACTCTAAACAGAATGGCTGTGGTGACCCGGCGGCAACACCCTGAATACATTTGTCTGATTTTCCGCAGTCTTTTCTGTATATACTCGGTTTACCATAGAATATCTAAAAAAAGTAACTTGGGAAAAAAATTCTATTTTGATGAGCTTCAAGAAATATCAAGCTTTATAATTAAGAGATGATATTTTATTAATCGAACATCCTCTTTATAGGTCAGATAAAGTAATAGTAATTATCTGAAAATTTAGCATCTATCATACATACATATATCAAGCTAGCAAACAAAGTATATCTAGTAGAGCAAGATTCAATAATCTAGCAATATTATAAATGCGGCAATTCATTTTATGTTTTTATTCCAGCGGTAAATAATTAAGCTTATCATTTAATCGAATTAACTAATTAATTAAATACCTAACCTATTTAATTATTTAATCATGCTAATCATGAAAATTGATTAATTATACCAAATATTTAATTAAGAACTCTAGCTAACTAATTATGGTTAAGCTTTATTCATTTTCAATTTTCGCCAATATTTGCATCACCAAGTTTAATAAACTTGTAACTATTATGGTTAATTGTTTGGATCATGCTGACCAGGTCATGTTTTTATAAGCAATCTAGGCAGAAAATATTGGATAAATGTATGTCGCAACTTTTTATCAGGTGGAAATTTTAAGCAATAATGTATAGATATAGGGACAAAAGTTAACAGGTGAAAAATAGGGCATAATTCATCCTGGAATAATTAAGTATGAAAGAGTGCCATCCAGCTCTTCTTAGTGCAACTATCATTGATACGCTCTTCCTTTATTTTGCTAGCGCTTTGCAAATTTTAATGTAGCCTCAACAGCACACAGGATGCTGTAAAAGTTTTTTCTCTAAATTAGGCTAGCTCAGCGGCCTTAAAAGCACTTTACTTCAAAGTACAGGACCAGTGAACAAGACTAAGCTATTGGGACCATAGATGCAAGAGAAGTTATGTTGTGCCAGACTAAAGTTCACACTCCTTTTATAGGTCTAAGTCTATCCATTTGTGTTCACAAAGTCGTATACTGGGACGAAACAGCGTCCATCTCTCATGAGTTATGTTGATAGTTTTTAAAAATAAAGCATGAGTGTTTGAGAAGATTTCTTAGGGCTTAATAACATTCATATACCTGGGTTAAGCAACCCTATGATGCAGCGGTAAGACTTTTACCTGACTTAGTTACAGGGGATGAGGATGCTATATTTTCTCTTCGCTTATTTGTACATGTAGACGTTCATATAAGTAAATAAGTGTAAATAAATTTTCTTATTAGTTTGCTACATATATCAACTTTGCTAGCACACCAAAATAGTATTCAGTGACTAAAGCTCTGGCTACTTGGAGGGACACTTAATCTTGGCATATTAGCTAAATAAACCAATTCATTTCATACGAAATTTATATATATATATATATATATATTACAATTACGTAAAATGAGTTATTTAAGGGCATACAATTCCCATCTGCTCCAGCTCTATCCTCGGGACTTTTAGCAAAATTCTTGGAACAAACCAGGTCTCCAACTTAAGGAGCTTTAAGAAGCTGAACTAAACGAATTAGCTAACCATGTTTTATAAGAAGGGCAGAAATGGAACATAAAAAGCTCTAAAATATGGGCTAAATTCTTGTTCACCCTGAACTCTTAATCAAAGAGTGTCAATTTTGAAGTCTAGATTTGTAGTCATTGTTCAATTTATAAAATTAAATTATTTTTAAGTTTGTTTCACTAAATTACTTCAATATAAGATTTAATTACGCTATTTCGTTAAACCGATGGACAAGTAGTTGAATATTTCTACACTGCTTATATATTTCCGTTGAATTATAATGGAACCTTGCTTCCCAAAAGGAATTCTCAAGCATAGCAAGGCCATGCGAATTTCATTGTAGGCATAAGGCCTACTCATATTATTGCGAAAAAATTTAACCACCAGTCCTTTATTAACTTAGTAAAATAGAGTGAGTACATCTCGTACATATGGTCTACTGATAATCTAAAAAACCTACTTATCATAAAAAAATAAGTACCATCAAGTTAAGATAAGATTCAAGGGAGATTATCAGTAGATTATCCAATAACTTTGTAATAATTTAATAGTAAGTATTGATAAATCTGGTGTATCTATGCTCCTCAACTTACTTTGGAGCTTGGATTCGGACTCAATGATCAGAACTGCTGGATCGAGAAGAACTGAAGGTGATCGGACCGAGTGACAGACAGCTAAACAAGGAACTGGGGCGGAAGTAGACAGCTGACTCGGGGAAAGTTGGTTCTTCTCTGTACTTGGCTCTAACTTGGTGTCAATAATTCGTGACAAAGTGGCAGGATCAGAAGTAGGATCAACAGCAAAATCAGATTTAGACAAAAGAGAGGGTATTTGATTGATATAATAATGCACAGGAGGCACACGTTGAGGAGGTGGCGGAAGATAACTCGGATACAAACCCATCTCCACTTGGCTGAACATTGTGCCAACCGATTGACTGATTTCAGGTGATATCTTCTGAGGAGATGAAATATCACGCATTTGACTTAATTCTGCCTCCACCTGGTCCAGTCGTCTCTGTAGCATCGCTAATTTCTCTTCATGGAAGCACTCCTCACGTTCGTGAAAATCTAGTGTCTGCCGAAAGCGATTCTTCTCTGAATATGATAAACCTGCATTTATATGTGTGCATGCAAATGCACGTGGGTAGAGTAGCAAGATAAAAAAGGATAAAGTGGAGATGAGCAAAATCACATATGCTCTGTTTAGTCTTAGCATCGCATGCAGAAAAGAAAATAAACAATCGTATATTCCAGAACATATGCAGACTTAAAGTTTTGAATCAAACTAAATTTGACACTTTTTTAAGCGGCAGGATTAATATCACAAATTAATATCGATAATTCATCTGTACTTAACCTTGAACGCTTTTGTTTTCACAAGCTTCCATTCCACTTTTAGTTAGCTTTTGGTGTAAAAGTGATATGAATATATCGTGTATCCAAAATGTATAGGGTAGTGTTTGGAGTCGCTCCTAGTTCCTAAACTATTGGTCAGATATATGGATGGTTATTTTGCTATCTGACAGTATGACAAAGAGTGTTTGGATGACTTCCTCGGTTTAATGATAGTAGGTAAGGGGCTAAATTCACTATTGAGTTAGAAAAAGTGAAGAAGTTACCCTTTTTAGATGTCCTAGTTAGTAAAAAGTGAGAAAACTCGGTAGAGATGTATGTAGCAGACCCACATATGCTGTTAAGGTAGGCGTAATGAAATCAATGATAATAAGGAGTTTACGCCTAGCGGACGTAAATCATCAAGAACAGGAGTTAGAAAGGTTACAAAAAATCTTAGTCGAGAACAATTATCCTGCCGGACTAATTGTTAACAATTTCAAAATATTGAGAAATAGTGTGAAGAAAAACAATTATTTTGGCCAAAATAAGGAATTAGACAACCCTTCGGCCAGGTTCCTAATGCTACCATCCTGCAAGCTTTCAAGAAACCGATTGCCAAGCTAATGTATAAGGAAACAATAACGCTTTGCTCGATTATACCTTCTTTTAGAGAATCTTTCGACTCTCTCTGCAGATCAGATTTAAATAAGGTTTTGTGCTCATGTGGTAGTGTTTATGTGGGGGAGACTTGTCGACTCATACATAAGAGGCTATCAGAACACAGAGCCTCCTACAAATGTTTATGGATTTAAAAATAAGAAATGGCTGAAAATGTGGTCGCCATAGTATATCGGATAGAGTGCTCTGAATCCCCACGTTTTGTCGGATATGGGGACTTCACGGCTAAGCGGAAGATCAGGAGTTTGATAGAAGTTAACAAAACAAGCAACATCCTGAATAAGAGGAATGAATGTAAGAAACAAAGGAACAACCATCTCTGGCTTCTAAGTAGAATGAGAGAGAGAGAGAGAAAAGGAACAGGAAGAGCCACTGAATAAGAGAAGACATACTAAGCTACATCTTGTTTTTAAATCTAAAATTGTCATTGTTGAGCTTACTTCCATTTCAAGTGAAAGATTTGGATAAAAAGATTCGAAAGTCGGTTCCACCAGAAAACGATGGCGAGTTTTCTTGACTCGTTAGCTTGAATTTTGTTGTGACGATGTTACCTCGCTCTGATGATGTCCGTC